GTACATCAACTTCTGTTTTCCTAAAAAAAGAAAGTTATTTGGTAAATAGCTTCATAAAGCTATAAAATTTAATCTACCTTATCCATACCGTAAAAAACTTTAATTTTCTCTGGATTGTTCTTAATGACGTATCACACAGTCTACGATAAATTAATGAGACAATATAATAATTAACTCCTAGAATTTTTAACTCCTGCTTTCAGAAATTCATATAACATGCAATACGTATCATTAAATCAAGATGTAGTATTATATGGTTTATTTAAGTTCACAACATGTATTGTCAACTCCTAGAACAATTATTTTGTTGGCAAAAAAAATACAGTTAGTATAAAGATAAATTACATTATTTCATTATTAAACATATTCAATCACAAATGATAAATATACAATAAAGTTTTAGTTAAATATATTTATTACATAAAACGTTTTAAACAATACATCATCTGATAGTTAAAAACAAGTATCCTACGATTAATTTTTATTCATAAAATATAAAAAAAAGATATGTACGAGATGTTATATATTTTATGTATTCACGTTGGCTTTTTTTAGTGTCAATTGTATGATAACTACAAGTAGTATCAATCAAAAAATAACTTTGGTTTGTAATGTTTTTTTATTAAACTAATACACAAGCAAGTGACATTTGATGTTATACACGTACACATAGTACTTACTGAATAAAGTTTATGAATAAAAAACCTGGCTGGAAAAAGTCACGTTTCCACGCAAAAACTGTAGCGTGAGTTAAAGATTAAAATTGGTTTAATTAATTCCTTAACAAAACGGAGTAAAAACATTAGTTGATAATAAATCAAGAGTAATTATATAAATCATTACGACTTTCATTAGGAGTAGTTAAAAACAAAGAAACAATTTGCCAGAGGCTACCGAAACTACTCTATTCATCACGCCACAGTTTCTATGTATTAAGAAATGTAGATACTTGCCGAAGATTAAAACTACAAGAGATTCTCATATTTACAACTGAATTGTTGTTTTTGTAATATTCTTTTCAGAGCTAGAAGCCTAATTATATACACTGTTATTAATTTATCAACGTTAGAGTTGTTCGAATTACTTATCCTTAAAAAGTATCCCAAATCTGCAGCTGTATGAGCAAAACTCTTTGGTTTGCAAATAAAAAAAGTTTTGATTATCACTAACAAGTAGTTTTTTTCAGTTTCAGCTTTCTTTGAAAATACTTATAATACTGCTTTTTGTATATTCTTTTGATAGCAAATTTTTTGCGTTTTTTACTATTCTGACTAGACATCATCAAGTGAGCAAACTTTTATTCTTGTTACTGACAAAATTGGTCGTTGTAAGCGAAACCAACATTTACAATTCTACATCTACAGCATCGATATTTAATAAGTAGTTTCTTTTTATAATTAGAAGTATGTTGACTCACTTATTTTTCACGATTTAGGCAGCTTTCTTAATTATTACCTATTGGACCCTCATCAGCTCAAATAAAATTAAAATTAAATTTATGATGATAATTAAAAGTTTTTTAAGCATACACTCCAAGCAGCCAGAAAAGAACAAAATTTTAGTTGACATATTTAAAATAAAGTAATACTTTACAACTGAATTATAACTTGAAAATTTTTAACGTGTAATTATAAGACAATAAATCACTGTGTAAATTTCATTATTTGTGTTCATAGATAAGGGGGGAGGCAAAAGTCGCCTGAATCTACTTTAAGCTTATGCACGAAACTTATTGCACAGTTTGGTAGATCTTTTGTTATTCAATACACTCTCAAGTAATTCTCTCCAGACGGTGTTTAGACGCATTGTACGAGGTGATCTTTGTCCCATTTAAATAACATTAGAAATACAATTTTTCACTTATACTTCAAAAAATTTGGAGGTGACCCATCTCTAAAAAAATATTTGTTTTACAAGCACATAATATAAATATTTTGGGCTATCTAAAGTAAGGGCTAATGTGGGCTAGGCCCCTAAAATAATTTCTTTTATATGATTTCCGAAACTGAAAAATACAAAAATTTAAATTTTTTACTCTGACAGGTCATACATTAACTTTGTAATGGGTAAAACTTTTCTATTGACGCGCACTTTAAAGAAAAAATAGTTTACAATTTTTCAATTTATGATTATAGTAAAAAAAATGATTTACACAAAAACTGTGAAAAAATACCACTTTTGTGCTTGTAACTTTTGGAAAATGCATTTTTTCGACTTAAAAATAATGTCAGCCGATAGAACGAAAGAATTAATTTCGATTTTTGTATTATATCATGATTTTAGTATTTAAGTACGGAAGCAAAATACGTCCAAGCTATGAAAAATTAAAAGTATTTAGTAAAAAGCCCTGTAGCTCGAAAACTGCAAACAAAAAAATACTAATTTTTTTAATCCTAAAAACTTCGGATTTACATCTATTTTGATTATATGTACCTATATTTTTTACAAAATTTCTAACAGAAAATATTAAAAAATATAGTGATTTATGCATTATGCATATTGTCTTCTTTATTATTAGTCCATACAGAATCAACATCACTAACGTACTTCGCGCGTAACAGATTGTCAATACATCAATGAAATGTTAATCATTATTATACAAATGCTACATTCGCACAAAATTCTCTCATTCTTGATCCTATTTTTCACAATGAATATGAGTATTTAAAAAAATGCAACTATTTAAATCTTCATTTTCAATTATTTTTCCTAAGTCAATACAACACTACATACAATAAACGTTGCCTTCGATTTTTTTGTATCAATTCGTATTCTTTCGTAATAATTGTTACAAAAGTACAACCTCGTTTCCCAAAAAAAAAGAAATAACTATAATTTTATTTTTTTTAAGCACAACATAGTTATTATGCTTTAAAGTGAAACAAACCAAAAAATCTTAATGCAGCAATAAGCCAAGACAAAGACCACTGGAAGTCACAAAAACTTATTTTCATGAAGTACTCGGTAAACATACATCATCCAATCTTTGGTTACTTTCACACTCAGGACCTCAAATACAAAAGGTTTCCGGCCTTTGCAAAATGAAAGTAAGCAAAGAAATCACAAGAAGATACAAGGCTTATTTACGAAAGGAAGCGGAAAGCTCAATCGTCGTTTTACACTATGCTCGGCCAGTAACAGCTATGGTTTGTAATAGAAGTAGTGTATGTATGGTATACCCACTTTACGTGTATGATTGAGGTAAGTGTTTCAGAGCTATAATACTCATAGATAAGATACATGTCAGGTGTAACTAACAGTGTTCGTTATCGTATTTTGAGTAGGATTTTATTAGCACATACTATAGACTTCAATGTTGAACTTCTACTAAAGACTGGTTACTGTACACCGTAGGCTACTTCTGTAGAGAGTACTTAATCATCTCTAAGACTTAGGAACTTAACTAACTAATAACGAAAGCATAATTGAAGAATATAAGGGTACAGTCAACTGAAATAACAAAAATAACTAAAGTTTTGCCTTGAAAAAGTAACAGAAATAAAAAATTTTTTATTCAAGCAAAAAGGAGATTTTTTCCAAAAATAACAGATTCCGTTGGAAAAAGTTACGTTGTAGCTTGGACGAATCTGTCTTGTATACCTAAGTATTTAAATAATGTTATAATACTAAAAACCAATGTCATTTTTGCGTTCTATCGGCTGACATTGTTTTCAAGCCGAAAAAATGCATGCTTTAGAAGTTTTAAGTAAAAAAGTGGTATTTTTTTTTTTTTTTTTTTTTTTGCGTAAATAAATTTATTTGACCATGAAAATTAAATGAATAACTTTTTTAATAAAATATTTTTTTGCTTACAGTTTTTGCAAATATAAACATTTTGATCCATTACAAAGTTAATTTTCAGCCTTTTAGAGTTAAACATAATTTTTCAGTTATAGAAATTATAAAAAAAAATTTTTTTTTAGAGCCTGGGCCACGATTGCCTCTAAATTTATGCGGCCCGAAATATTTTTATTATGTGCTTGTAGAACAGACAGCTGTTTCAGAGAGACATCACCCATAATTTTTCGAAATATAAGCGAAAAACTATTTTTAATGTTATTAAAATGGTACAGAGTTCTCTCTATACAAGGCATCAAAATGCCCTCTGGAAAAAATTACTTGGGGAAGGAATTGAGGGGCCGAGAAGTTACCACATTGTGCAAAAAATATCATGTATAGGTTTGAAGAAAATTGAGGCGTTTTTAATTCTTAATTTTGTGACTTAAACATTCTTAAATTTTAAATCATTTTTTTTAGATCAAGCAAATTACATTTGTAGTTAAAAATTAAACACTTATGTAATTTTTAACATTTTCTTTCATATATTACTAGTAGTTTTTTTAACAACAAGCGTTACATCGATAGGTTGATGTTATGTGATCTACAACGAACCTTTTCATCGAAACATCTCATAACCCCACGATCTAGTGAGTGGTTATGAAATGTATATCATGATGAAGCTTCTAGGCAATTACAAAGGTTACTGGTGATGTGTTTTGCAGCAATTTTAGGCTAATCACTTGTCGTAGAGAAGATGCCACACAAGTTTTTAAAACACCATTAGCCAGCTGAATATTGATAATTTACGGCCCAATAGGTGAAATATTGACAAATAATTAAACAATGGAACTATTAAAAGAATTGAATTAATTGAAATAGCTAGGCTTCTTTCTTCTTTATATTTGATAAAGCTGTTTTGTAATAATACATATTTTCTTTCAGTCAAAAAATTTCATTTTGATTTTCAATAATAGTCGAATTAATTTTTAAACACAGTGAAAAATATTTATTTAAAAAAAAGGATGTACTTCAGCATTGTAATTTTTTTTGCCAAAGCAAAAGTGATTCATTAATGTTTTTTTTTTTTTTTTTTTTTTTTTCTATTAATCGATCATCCATAGTCAATGTATCTGTACAAAACTCACAGACATGAAAAATAAATTATTTGAAATATAGAAATAATCATCAAAAAGTTACAGTTCCAAAATAAAGAGGTCATATTTTTAAATACTTTTTTTTTTACTTAATGATTTTGTACATGATAACATCCTTGTAAATTTAATTGTATATTGTAGTAATTCATTGAAGATGGATGAGTAAGGGTATGCTTTGGACCGAAATCAACACTTGTTTGAGATTTCACTCATTTTTTGTTAGTGTTTTAATATCGCTAGGAGTTTTAAAATGAGGTTGTAGGATCAGAACTTAGCAATATGCTAAATACATAGTTTTAAGATGAGTTACAGCATAATGCTAGTTGTTATTAGTGCATAAATATTAAACCTGACTCTTTGACCATCACAAGTACTCCTTGTGTACCAGTATCATGAAAAATATAAGTTAAGTGGCTTATGCACTGCAAAATTAGTAACTTTGTATTGTAAACTAAATATCAGACTGTGATTGCTGGTTTTAATTCCTTTTCCACAACATAGAATTTATGCTTTTTGCCGAACAAACCCCAAATAACAGCTACATTTTCAATGAACAAATTAAATGGTATAACAAGAATTGCGCTGCATATACAGCATGTAAACTTGAGATATCCAAATCGGTACGGTGAAAAAGATTTGACAACCCCAAAAATGTACATGTAAAGATTAACAGCACCGATAAAAGCACAAAAAAAATCCATAAGTGGAGGACATGTTATGGGGCAAAAGTAGGCGAGAAAAATGTTGGACGTAGACAAGGGCAATGTGACCCATGAATAACACGATATGCCTAGCAGTAACTTCTTTTTTAGCGGTATTGCTTTGGAATGTACAACAAGCAGAATGCCTTGAAGCCAGCGCTTGCGCTGCTGCACAAAGTCCCAGTAGTTAAAAGGTGATTTTTCCCACATTTCGCCATCAATGAAGTTGAATGTATAGCCGAGAGAGAATGCCTTCATCGCAAAGAAACAATCCTCCGCAACAGATCCATCCAGACCATTATTAAAGGACACTTGTCTTTCAGCACCCATCTGAGGACAAAATGGATAAATATATTTAAGTTAATACTTTTATTTAATTAATGGTTTTGTCTTACTATTCAATAAAAATTAGTATTCTTAAAACATTTTTGGGCTTTCATTAAAAAAGTTATATTTCTCTCTTATGTAAAACAAGGATTTTTTATGAGTTTTTAACATCAGAATAAGGATGTAGGCTGATAATTCCAAACTACTTTGTTATCACCAAGACATTGTGCTCAAATTTACAAACAATTATGATGATTTACATCTTTGGGCCTTATTTTTTTCTTTTAAAACTTTCGAATACTAGTTTATTATACACTTAATGAAAAATAATGTTATACATGTTGTAATAAGCAAAAAAAGCACAAAGATGGCATCCACACGTCCTTAACTCGTACTCTACCAGGGTATGGGCCATGGATATATGACAAATAGACTGCCCGTTCCTATGTACGGTGAAGCATACATATAGAAAGAGACAACATCGAGCGTGGGTATATGTCCCTCCCGTACGTTGCCAACGATTTAGCTAAGGGAACCCCCCACTGTTGGCAATGTAGGAGAGATACCTGTGTACCGTGTAAGAATATACTCTTTGGCGTGTATCTAAGGGCCTTTACAGTAAGTTGCAGTAACGTACAATGTACAAGAGTAACATTGAGTAATATACCTACACACACAACACGCAAGAGCGGTGTGCTGCACGTTATCGGCGATATAGATATACCAGCCAATGCTACTCTTGTGCGTTGTGCGTTATGCGTTACGATAGCTTGCTGTATACGCTGGGTGCAGGTGGCTGGCGGGGATAGGTGAAACTATCTAAGCGCCCACGGCAGTGTTCATATATTGTCAGTAGAATTCCATCGTATTGGTTTGGGAGATCAAGTTGTCAACTCTTACAAAATGCGTAGAGACCTTACAACGCGACTCTACTCACTCCACGCATTTTGTAAGAGTTGACAACTTTATCTCCAAACCTATGACGATGGAATTCTACTGACAATACGAACACTGGCCCACAGTGATTATTTAGTGTAACTCGGGTTCCAAAGCTTACAGACGACGCCATCAACGTGTGTATGTACATATACTTGTCAAGTAACCTCGAAACTGTTCTGACCTGCAAAGTTTTTTAAATTTTACTTCTTATCTGTTATCTGTCGTCTGCACATTTTGGCACCCAAGTTTTACTTTTTCAACACTGTGCTAAAGACGCTGCGTGCTATGCACCCAGTGAATAGCCTCTTATGAAATAAAACGTAGCATACAAAGTTATGTTATAGTATTTTCAGAGAATATTCTCTGGTATTTTGTATTGCGACACTCCAACAACTATGTGTAAATAATTAGGAACTATTAGCTACTTTTACAATAATAGGGGACAAAATACGGGAATGCTACTTATTCTGCAAAATACTAAGCGCGCAATTCGCTATGTGCAGTATTCTGAAACAGCGCCACCTGCACGGCAAGAAGGAGGCGATTCTGGATAACACGATTACATAGCCTGTTATGGGCTGCAAACTTTGTTAATTGTTTTTTTTTAGTTTTAATGCATTTTTTATACTTAGAGTATCGATTTTTAGTGTTAAGAATTTTTATTAAACAGAAAACAACTTTTTGTCACATTATATATTTTTTTTTTTTTTAACTGTAAAATAATAGTTGTTATCTGTTTGAAACAAATTCTTGACACTGAAAATCGATACTTTAAGTATCAATATTGCATTAAAACTATAAAAAACAATTAACGAAGTTTGCAGCCCATAACAGGCTATGTAATCGTGTTATCCAGCATCACTTCCTTCTTGCCGTGCAGGTGGCGCTGTTTCAGATTACTACACATAGCGAATACGCAAAAAGAAATTGACATGTTATACAAGCAGTTTCTTTTAATATTGTTAAAGTAAAGGGTCTTATTGTATTTCTGATGTCTCCCAGTTGCAAGATGATGATATTAAGCAAAAAAAGGTTCTCACTAATGAGAACTAATTGAATAAGAGTCCTGCAAAAACTGAATTAATGATAATTGCTTTTCTTATCTCTATGTGTAAGATAAAGTACAAATTTAAACGTGAAACCAGTCGTTCAATTGACAGTAATGATAAGGAAACTGGTCAAGTTCAATGTGTTCAGTCAATTTGCAGATCAAATGCCAAGCAAAGCCTATAACATCTAATACTAATATTTTTAGTATCATTACTAGTAATTGCATATTGATATTAGGATTTTATTTATCTTTTAGTGAAAATAAATTCAATATTTATTTTGTATTTATAGATATAATATCACGCACGACTGACCAGTAGAAGAATTCAGAATGATGAATTGACTAAAAAAACATTGGAAACAGTAATCAATCATTTCATTATACCTTCTTATTTACTTGTATCAGATTTATTATGTACAAGTTTACTATGTACAATGGCATTAATTTATTTATTTATTTTAGTTATTCATAACTTTATTTCATATTCATATATTTGTAAATTTAATTGTATATTGTAGTAATTCATTGAAGATGGATGAGTAAGGGTATGCTTTGGACCGAAATCAACACTTGTTTGAGATTTCACTCATTTTTTGTTAGTGTTTTAATATCGCTAGGAGTTTTAAAATGAGGTTGTAGGATCAGAACTTAGCAATATGCTAAATACATAGTTTTAAGATGAGTTACAGCATAATGCTAGTTGTTATTAGTGCATAAATATTAAACCTGACTCTTTGACCATCACAAGTACTCNATGGCATTAATTTATTTATTTATTTTAGTTATTCATAACTTTATTTCATATTCATATATTTACAACATATTTAATAAAATAAAATGATAGAATTTATGAACAATAAAAATATATCCTTACACGGTATATAACCTACAGACAGGCCCTATCTGTTTGCCAAATACACGGGCGCCGTACATGGCACGTGTACCTGCCAGAGTTCATTCCGTAATTGGTCCGTATGTGGTTGCGAAGACGGACCGTACATAGTATTTACAGCAGCGCACACGGACCCTCATATCTTCCGGCGACAGATTTCTAATCAGGACATTAATTTTTTTTCACCAGATTACCACGACAGCCTACTGGCCTAGAGTCGCTGGGGCCACCCACTCACCACCTATGTTTTGGGGTATATTGTCGCATATATTACCTATCGCCGTAACCGATACCTAACTTATTACATATTTCATACCATGGTCACAGTGGGAATATAATATCTCCGCCAAAACTGTATGGTCACCCTTGTCAGTTAAGCTGGTCGCAGGATGTCTACTTTACGATAGTTAAGCCAACGCTCTCTGATGTATCATCAGATTCAGGCTAACTAGCATCTCCGAAGAAGCCCCATGTTTCAGGGATCATTTCCCGCTGGGAACGATGCTTCCTGCCCGGTATTTAGCATCAGATTTATTAACTCCTACCTAAAACCGTTAAACTGTTTTGCTTTCACCCAGACTCGAAGACCTGTGGGGCAAGGAAAAAACTCTGGAATTACACTGAAGGAAGATTTTGCAGAAAAACCTACCTCAAAACAGCCATGGTTCATAGCACTTTTTTCGATAAAAACAGTTTTTTTTTAAAACAGTGTTGTATCAGTAATATGCACGATAACTACTGAGCCAACTCCACTCTTAACTTTTTAAATGTACTCTTCTACAGGCACATTTTGTGCTAGAACAAACAATTTAAAAACTGTGACCTAGAGAAAGTACATAGAGATACTATGTACAGTAGCGAATATTTTATTACATTTGCTTAATCCTACAAACCCCACAACATATATGTGAAAAAAGTGAATTCTCAAATTTTAAGAATTTCAATACTTAAAATGATTTTTGAACAAAAAAAAAAAAAAAAAAAAATCACTTTCTATGAATGATGAAAAATCAAGTTGTGAACTATGAATGAATTGTTTGATGTTTATTATGTCTTATCCTTTTGAAATTCATTCCTGTATAAGGTAGCTTTTTGAGTTAAGCAACGTTCACTGTCATGTAATGCTACCCCATTGAGGATAAAGCGATAGTACAAGATCTTTTTCTAAGCTTTTTTTTTAGATATATATTGTGCGTGTTATATACGTGACTAGGAATAAGTATGCAAGCCCAACGTTCTAGATATTATTAGTGGATAATTAGTTATTTTGAAATAATCAGTAGATTCAACCAACACACTCTGACGATGAATGCGAGGAGTCCTGGCGGTACGTCACTTATTTATTATTCACTAAAATTTTTATTTATTAAACATTAAAATATCAATTAAAATCATAGCTTATTACCGAATATCTTAATTCCAACGATGATTGCACCATCTTTGATTCGTATATTGCAGTGGGTTATTCAAAATTTTATTTTACTTGGGTACCCAAGCACCTACTGACCACTGGTTTACTAATTTTTCTAAAAACTATAAGTTCAGTACGAAGGAAATCATTTGTAATGAAGTAGTTAAGGTAACATTTTTTCTCGATTATATGAAGCGATCTAAAAAAAAATCAAAATACTTTTTTTACCTCTAAAAATAGGAAACTGTAACGTTGCACCTCACTAAAACACCTTTGAACACGTCGTATCACCTAAAACGTCAAAACACTCCAACCCAGCACACCTTCCGATACTTCGGTTTGGCTCAGCTCTGCTCTCACGATGAAAACTGCTTACATAGAGGAGGCCCTGCCGCAGACTGTCCGTTGGAAAACGTACAGTTCCCAAGGAAGATGACCGGGGTACACAATACGCTTATACTAATAAATATACATAACACAGAACTTACTTTTAGATTGACTTCTTTAGTTACTTACATAATATGAACACTCCCAGAGAATCGATGCTACCTCGCAATTTACAGACTTAAGCACGCACTTCTGAACTCATATACCCACACCCCCACACCTACATACATGCACTCGCATACGAAGTTCCCCACACGCGACTTATAGAACGGTTAACTCCGGGGTTACAACAACCCGGTTCGATCGTGAGAACACTTGGCCAC